TTCGTCATTCAAGACCCAACTTGTTGTAGTGAATTGTTCTCATGAAATTCCTGTCATGCATTATTTTAGGGATTAAACTTGAAAGCTTAAGTCAAAGTAACATTCTGATGTTTCAGGAGCTTCTGATGGATGCCAAGATGGTAACAAGGTATCTGGTCAGCTGCATAGATATGAGCATCTGAGTAGAATGGCAGCAATTGACGAGTCAGAAAGCCTTTCTGATATCGATGATGTTGAGGTATGCTGCAAGTTTTAAAGCAAGTTGTGTTCTTGACTTAATTGGTAAATGTTACCTGATTGACTTATCAGATCAGTGAATTTATAACTTCGAAACAATGTCAAATTTTTTACAGGTTGACAAATATCTGCACAGTAAGGAAGAGATGCATTACAAAAAGATTATTTGGGAACAAATGAATAGTAAACATGAAACGGTAATGCTGCCTTTTCTTTGTTTCCTTTCTTTCAGGTATTACCCTCTTCGAGTGTAGGTAATTTGGAGCAAAAGTTGGTTAATAGTCATGATCATGATGCTGTAAATACCCATGATATGTAGCTAATGAGATGAAATTGATTTGACAACAAAACCAATAACATTTGTTTTATTGTACTCATGGCCTTTTGACTGCTATAGTCTTTCTGTAAGTAAAATCATAGAAGAACGAGCACTAGTTTAGATGTGGAGTCCTTTGAATGTACTGATTACACAAATAAACACATGTAAAGCCCTTTGTTGTATTGTTGAATATGTTGCCAAGTTAGATATTGAATACATGCATTTGTCTGATCTCAAAGAGTGCCATTCAATTGAAGCATGTAAAACTCAGGAGATTGAGACACGCTGTCCTGCTTCATTTTCTGGTAGGAATATTTAACCCTCATTTCGCCGTAAAACTGTTCTAGTTTGCACCTCAGAGGATCCTCACATCCGTTCACTTTGTCTCTTCTATTAGCACCACTTTTTGCACTGAAATGATTTGAATAAAAAATCTAAATAAGCATAGGGGGGAGAGAGAAAACATTAATTCAGAGTTTTGAACTTATATAGTAGAAAAATGTCGGTAGTTCATATACTACATAGCATGTGAAATGCTGAAAGCTCATGGAATACCCTATTAGCTGCAGAGATAAATCTCCTAGTATGTCATCAATGCCGCATTCTTTGTACTCTCGGAAGTGCTTTATGGTTTGATTATGAGATGTGAGCCAAACCTATCCATTTTGTGGCCATATGCACCATAGTTAATGGGAAAACTAAATAACCAAATCAAACCGATGTGTATTGGGCCAGTTTGGTTTGGTTAGTGATGGAAACAAATCAAAACTAAGAATTGAAAGGGTAGAACAAATTGACAAATACCAATCCCCACAACACAAATGGTGCCGACCTCAAGTTAATGGTCACTTGAATATAAACTTACCTTCCCACTGAATTTTACAAGACTTCAGCTCCATTGCAATGACTCCAACCAACGTTGTCCTATGGTAATTCAATGGCGCACTTCACACAGGAAACTTCAGTTCTTCCTGCCAATGAAGGTTGCAGCCCTTTTTATAAATGAAAACGAGACGTGGAGGAAAATGCAGTCGTCATTGTCATTTTCTAATGTTTTTTTTCAAATACAGTTTCTAAAACAGGTAATTATATGATGATAAGCTGCGCGTGTTTGGCTCAAGTTAGATGGAAGGATTGAAATAATCATTTGGTGGGATTATTCATCATATTTACATGAATTCTCAATTTCAAATCTAACAAATCAAGTTACAATATGATGCCATGCTATTTTACTGTTATTTTTGTTCCATTAATCTGAAATTTATTACTTGCTATGAGACAAAGCTACACTGAGAGTTGGCTAATGTATTTCTATACATCCATTTCAATGTCTTTACAGAGCCAAGGTGCTGAGAATGCCAACATGGAAGGCATAATTGCAAAATGCGATACAAAGTTTAACAAGAAGTTTAGCACCGACAGATTGAGTCTGAAATAAGAAAGTATGATAATGAATTTGACCACAAGACTGATTACGGTGAAGGTGTTGAAAGCTGAGGAGCCTATGGTGTGGATTATGATTATGAGGATTGACATGAGATATGAAGAGCTTGGCTTTATGTTAAAATTTTAAAATTTATTATTTGATGTTACATTAGTTTATGAGAAAATTTTGTAAAAATATATTTTATTTTTCTATAATTTTTTCTTTCCTAACACATTCATCACATGACGATGAATATGCTATGAACTTGTGCCCTTACATAGCTTGAGAAAGAAATAAAAGAAAATTTTGATATTATTTATTAGAGAGGTTTTGCACACCTTGTTTTCTTTTTTGGTAAACAAAGCATAACAATATATTAAGATAAAATAGTTCTGGAGTATTGAGCCCTTACAGCATCCGTTAATTTGAATGATGCTTTAAAATTATAGGTTTATTATGGATTGAATGAATTATTAGGAATTATAGGTATATTGTTTTCTTGCTTTGGCGACCAATTTATTAGTCGCGACAAATAAATTATTTTTTTTCGCAAAAAATGACAATTGCCGACCAAGAGTTTTGGTCGCAAAAAATACATCTATTGCCGACCAAAAATTTTGTTGGTCGTGGAAACTCACTTTTGCGGACCAACAGTTTTGGTCGCGAAAAGTAACAATTGGCGACCAAACTAATTTTGGTCGCAGAATGTCACAATTGGCGACCAAAAAATGTGGTCGCGAAATGTCACAATTGGCGACCAAACTTTTTGGTCACGAAATGTGTCAATTGGCGACTAAGAAATTTGGTCGGCAAAAGGCGACTTTTCGCGACCAAAGTGTTTTAGCGACAAAATGAGTTGTGGTAACTAAATATTTAGCGACCAAAAATTTAGTCGGCAAATCCAACTTTTGCCGACCAACGAAAATTTTGGTCGCGAATTACTTTTGCCGACCCTCAATTGGCGACCAAACTAGCAACCAAAAAAATTGGTTGCGGATAACTTTTTCCGACCAAAAATAGACTTTTAGCGACCAATTTTTTTGTTGCTAAAAATGTTAATTCTTGTAGTGTAGAGAGAAATTCTATTTTCATACTTATGTATTTCTTAAGATACACGCAACCCTTTTACTCATCGGCACACATTCAACATCGAAATATATGGTGGTAGTTTTTGAATATGTTGTGGAATTTATGATGCTGGGCAAACATTTTGATTAAATTATTGTGAGTATGTATTTTTAAATAGTACTATATATGTGGGCTTATTTGATTAGGTTGACTATTCATAGGAATCACATTTCATTGTTTGATTACAAAATTTATTATTTGGATTAGATTTTAATAGTTATTCTATTCAACAAAATTGATAATTTTTTTTAATCTTACAACTAATAATACAAACCATGCATATAATTAGGATTATAAATTTTTATATCTATTGCAAAATAAACTTAGATGAGAGAAAATTATGTATCTCAATAATTCAACTGGATAACCAATTATACACTAATTCATGAATTCTTAATGCCCTAACTATTAATCCTTACTAATCAAACAAGCCCTTTGTGTATATCTTAATTGACTTATAAAAATTGAATTTTTGAATATTTTAAATGAAACTTTGGTCGGGGATCCATAATGTATCTCCCGATTATTGTCACTTTGACATATATTTTTTAACAAATTAATTTTTCCAAATCATTCAACCACTCAAAAAGTAAATATCATTTTTCTAATTTCATTTTATTGCTTGGTTTTTACTTTGAATATACTGCTGGACTCGAACTCAGCTCATTTGATTATCCAACTCGAGCTCCGCTCGATAACTAATCAAACTTGAGCTCTACTCAACTAGTTAATATTAATTGAGCTCGAGCTTGACTCAAAGCTCGATAATGATTTTTTTTTTAATTATTATTTATATTATTAATATATTTATGTATTATTTGATAAAAAATTTAAATGAAAATATTATTTATATTATTTTAAGATATAAATAAGAGAAAATTGGTGATAAATCCAATTTAGAGAGCCTCTAAGGCATTTGATCCAGTGGATATCTTTTGTTGGTGAGAAATCCTGTAGGACATTTTGTTTTCAATTTACGCCATTGACTTTTTTTTATCTGTTTGACTTTTCATTGACTATCATATTTTTTCCTATCTGTTCAATTTTTTTACCCTTTCTATTTAATTTTTTAATCTTTTTAATTCAAATTTTCCTTATCTATTTAAATATTTGTCTAAATAAAATCCTATCTATCCAATTTTTTGTTTATCTATCCAATTTTTTTGTCTATCTATTTATTTTTCCACCCTATTTGAACAAATCTATCATCTTACCTGTTGAAAATCAATTACAACAAATTTGTTATGTCTATCCAAAATTTATTATTTTGCTATATGTTCAAATCTTTCATCTCTTGCTGTTGCAATCTGTTTCTTCTTTATCATCTATTATCTGTTAAAATATTCCATAAACAAAGATTCATCATCATCACAGCACATATTCATCATCATCATAATCATCAACAACAACAACAGCAACAAAATTAATATTCTAAACATTCATACTGAACATGAGTGGAAAAAAGCCACTTTAAAATTCCATAAGAAAATTTTTTGACTATCATCTATTTAATTTTGTGACTATCATCTCTTCTCCTCCTATCTGCCGCAATTTGTTTCTTCATCATCATTATCAACTCTTTACTTGTAGACAGGATAGAAGAAAGGGAAATGTATCAATTTTCCATTTTAGAATAAGTGTCAAAACAATAGAAAACTTTTAAATCTTGCCTTTCAATTTATGTAACTTGTCTTTGTTTTCTCTGTAACCAAACATAAAATGAGAAAGTTCATTATGCAATAAACATCAAACGAGGCTTGTAAATTGAAATCTAGATCAAAGTTTCATATCTCACAACTGAAATCGATTTGTTATCAAGAAAATTCTCTATGAACGACTTCATAAACTCCTCCCTATTAATTTACCAACACCAGAAAATAAAAATAAAAACACAGCATCAACAAACAACAAATGCAATAGAAAGTATCACCATACAAAGAGAAAATTGATCAATACGAAAATGTGACGTAAAATCTCACATGAAGACAAAGAATGCACTTGAAGGACACTAGTTCAAGAACATACACACACAAATCTGTCGATTCAAACCCTAGTTCGAAGGGGTATAAACCTCTATTTCAAATGCTGGTTATGCTTCGCTCGACAATTTATTGATCTGCCGATTTATCTAGATCTCTTATCTCTAGATCTGTCCATAACAGGTTGTTGGATGTTCGATTTGAGATCTCGATCGATCTAAGATCATCGGAGATGGCAGCGATGATGGAGATGGGGATAGAGGCAAACTTCGTCACAGGTGAGGGTCGAGGTAGAGAAAGGATGATGATGCCTTATCTCTCTAGATCTGTCCATTACACATGTCATTGTTATATGAATAGTAGATATAAATAGTGAGATTCATTACAATGATAAAATATAAGATGATACGAAAAATTAATAATTTTTTAAAAAAATATTAATCTTTATTAACATTAAATTGATCAAAATGTTACACTCATTATTTAAAATATTAACCCCATTGATTCAATAAAATAAAATAGAGTAAAAATTAGTTAAATTGCTATGCTAATTGTATCACTCAAGATGACTATGATAATTTAGTAAAATTTATTAGATTTTTAATACATTTGAACATGAGTACAATATTATTTTAATAGCAACTTTACCACCGCACAAAACCTACTCTAAAAATCAGCTAAATCAAATAATACAAATCAAGACGCAGCTAAAATGACATAAATTACATATAAAATTGCACAATTGTGTATTTATTTATTACATTGTTGTTTGCACTTTGTGCTTTAAAGCTTCAAGAAATTTTGGTTTTATTGTACTTTAGTCCTTCAATGCCATAAACAATTCTCAATATCACCCATCAAAGTAAAAAGGGAATAAGAAATAAATAAATAAATAATAAAAGGAAAGAAATAGATGGCCCACTCATCAATTTATGCAGCCTCACTATCAAGTTGTTTTTTCTCTGCAAATACAAAGAGCAATTCATGTTCTACAACCTGTGATAAAAAACAAGAATTGAGAATGAGAAACAACATGCAGCTTCAAATTAAATTTCAATGAAATTATATTGGTAACATTTAATTTTTTATTTTTTTTTGTATAAAATAATGTGACAATGACATTTTTATAATTATGAACTAAAATGATGAATTTCTTTACTTTAAAGAGTGAATATATGTACACGACACATCATTGTCTATATAAATTTTATTTGTATATTGTTACCTTTACAAACAAAATATTATACAGAATGATATTGTTAAGTTGTGGGTGCATCATTTAAAAAAAAAAAACAAAAAAATAAACCATCAAAATGTGTCAATTATAAAAATATTGTTGTCGTATCATTTTAATAGATAATTATAATTATGTGTAAAACTTTTGAAAGAATAGGATTTTCTAATAAACAAGTTCTTAAATTCCATTCTCATGTGATTTAGAGAATAAAAAGGAAAAAAAAATTATAATAGTAATTTTTGCACAAGGTTTTGAAGCTGCAAAGACCTCCAACAACTTATGTTGGCTTGTGTGTTGCAAGTAACAAGAAACTCTGTGGGGTTTATACTGGGTATGCCCAGGCTCTGTGGTGGATTTATTTGATTGGTGGATTGGCACTAGAATCAGGAAGAAGGAACTCCAAATATGGAATGCCTTAACATTTGTTGTTTTGTAGTCAATTTGGAAGCTCAGGAACAATTGTGTGTTCAATAGAGCCCTCTTCCATCTCTGTGTAGATGTCCAAAACATTCTTCACTAATGCTTGATCAATCTGTCCTTCGCGCTCTTGATCAATCCGAAAGATATCACATGGATGGGTCAAAACTGTTTATATATTAAGATAATTTAATCCAACAACCATTTAATAAATAGTATTAATCAACCGGATTGAATAAGGTATGACATTGACAAATCAATCTCGCCAAACCATTTACTTTGTTAAACTCTTTTTCAATGGGTGGTGGTGGTGGTGATGTTTGAATTTTGAATTTGTAAATGAAATTCTTTTTTTTTGTCCCTTTTTTTCTTTTTCCTTTACAAAATTTCTAATCAAATTTAAAATTTAAATACAACTTAAAGGATGGGTAAGTGAACCTTCCCAACCAAAATCAAGTAAAAAGTAAGGATTTAAATTGTACTGAGACTTGCGACTCTTATATGAAAAGTTAGAGATTCAAACATCAAGGTAGACTAATGGTTAAAAGTTTCATTCTCCACGTTTCCTTGAGGTCATCCCAAGACTTAGATCCGATAATTACCTGATATATGTGAGATAGACGGGTTACATGTATTGGGAGAATTAGTTAGGTGAAAGACAAAGTCGTGAGGGACAAAAAAAAGGCAATCATGAAGGCTAAATTTGGTGAGGTGTAAGGGGGAGAAGAAAAAAAGAAAAGAAAAAGAAGACAATTAGCCTTGTTAACTACAATGAGGATACAATTACATTCATTTCAAAATATTATGAAACAAAACATACCATAGATATTACAACATCCCTCACTTGATCATTCATTTCCCCGTAAACCTAAACATGAAAAAAAAATTGTTAGAATAATTTATGTAGAAAACCAAACAACTTTTAACAACAAAAAATGGCATTGCCTCACTAAAAAATGAGCGAATTTACATACACATAATTAAATTTAAAAAATATATTAAGAATGTATTTACACAATGGGATGTACCTGAGTATTTTTATTTACCAACATTCTCATAATTTTTATTAGAAGTGGGTATCAACATGTAAACATATTCATTCTTGATATTTTTCGGTAAGTTAACTTTAGTTAATTACACAGAGTACCCTTACACTTTTACTAATTTAACACTTTAGATAATTTATTTTCAATTGTGACAATTAACCTCTCACACTTTAAGTCTAATCATAAGGTTAACAGAACTTATTATGTAAGTGATACATACCATTTTCATATCCTCATTTACTCCCCTACACTTTTACTAGAATCTCATTTTAATCTTTACACTTTCACCAAAAACTCACTTTTGAGTCTTGACCTTCCATTTTTAGTTTTTGCCCGCCTCACAAATGATAGGTGAACGGAATAATAACATTATAAGTTGACTTAAAGTGTAAAATATTGATTGTCACAATTAATAATAAATGAACCAAAATAAGATTTTAATAAAAATACATAAATACTAAAGGTTTATTTGGATCATGGATTTGGATAGGATTTAGAGAAAAGAAAAGAGAAATAGAGAAAAAAATACCTTATATTTCCCTCATCTTTTTCTTTCTCCTTTTCAAATTTCTATTTAAATTTATAATTCAAGCACATATAAGTCTAAGTAACCCTTTAATTCTGTGTCAAAAAAAATATAATTAGTAGCATTACCAACCAGTTCATAGAAGGTCATGAAGCTAGTCTCTAGCAGTTTGGGTAGTCTTTTGATTGCGGTGAGGTATCTATCAAAAAATTTAAAAAATCTTGAGAGCCAGTGAGTCATAACCTTGTGTTATTCCATCTTTTTGCTAGTTCTTGTAACAAATCCTCATCTTTCTTTTCCCTTAAAGATGGTAGTACCTGACAACAAAAAAATAAAAAAATAATTATATCTCTAGTCAGAGAAATTTCAGTGTGCACTCTTTAAAAAAAAATAATCAGTGTATTTGATTTCAATTTTCTGAATTCAGTTTTCTGAAAATTAAGTTTTTTTATTTTTTATATTTTTTTTTCTTTTAGAGAATATTTTTAAAATTTTAAGCAATTTTTTTTTAAATTTTTTTAGATGCACCTTACTTAGATATATCTAAATAGTAAAATATTTGTGAAAAAATATTTTAAAAAATTAATAAATACACAAAATACGAAAAATATACTGAATTTTCATACTTTTTTTTCATATTTTTTGGTATTTTGTGAATTTTTAAAAGTTTTTTCCAAAAATATTATACTTTTAACTGTATTTATGTTAAGTCTAAAAATTTAAAAAATTGCTTAAACTATTAAAAAAATTAAGTGAAAATAAAAAAATACGAAAAACGAAAAAATAAAATTTTTTGAAAAGTGAATTTTGAAAACTGAACTAAACAGAGTGATTTTTTTTTATGAGAAAAGTTATTAATTATTTGATAAATGTTATGATATTTTAAGATAAAATTACAAATAAACATTGAATGATGTGGCTTTTGACTTATCATTTTAGAACAAAGTGTCTATTTCAAGGACATATAATTACAGAAATGCCATCCTACATAATCTTGCATAAAAATTTTGTTTCATTAGCATTTCACAAATGATATATGTACAAAATATTTATACTAACTTTTTTCACAAGGATGTTGTGACATTGGAATTTTAGAAAATACAAGCCACTTTGATGAGTTTTTGTTTTAAAATGAAAAAAATAAAATAAAAAATACTCATCACATTATTATGAATTGATTATACATTTTTTCAAATATATTTTTTATTGAGAATAGCTATGGCACAAATAAATTCATCCATGTCTAGCACTTGCAAGTGAGGAATATGTACGTTAAAAATAAAAAAAATAAAAAATAAAAAAAAAACTCAAGAAAATCTCTTGCACTTGCCTTGGATAAGATATAATCTTCAAAGATCTTCTTGTATTCATCATATAACTTCTGACTTTGAGGACCAATAGGTTTACCACACATATTTTAAACAGTTCTGTTGAGCTCTGAGTTAAAGGTATTAAAGTAGTATAACCAAAATTGATATAAATTTTTTTTAAAAGCAAACAGATAATAAATTCGAAATAAGGTTAATTACATACTCATATGGTTTTGCAGGAAAACACCTAACTCTTTAAAATGTAATTAAAGTTGTGTTTTTAGGTTAGATCATAAGGAAAAAGTGTAATTGGAGCAATTAACTCTGTAATTAACCTTTTAAAGTGTAATTGATCCTTTAAAATATAATAATAAGCAATGAAACATATAAAGATTCATGTAAATTTAGGCAATCATGTTCATGAGGATCTGACAGCTAATAGTAGTAGCAGTAGTCAAATTGAGATTGTTCCAAATAATCAGATAGCCAAATTTTTGTTTGAATCTAGAATGTATGGAGAGAGAAAAAAAAAAAAAAAAATCACAATAGACACTTTTGGCCAAAAACAAAAGAGTAATGTTAGAAACTCCAAATATTCTACCAAAAGTTTTACCAAATGTCTCACATGGGTGTGGGACCCACACAATGTGGGTCCCATGTGGGTCCCACACCCATGTGAGACACTTGGTAAAACTTTTAGTAAACAGAATTATTTTTTTTTTATTTTTTTTTATTTTAAATTTGACAGCAAATTTAATTTTAAAAATAAAATAAATTATTTGAATTATGAAGATGGGCCCAAAGTGACCCTTCCTTAAGGCATAACATGGACCCAACTTCATGTCCGGATGTTGTTTTTGTTTTCAAAAATGTTAGAGGTCCCAAAAATTCTACTAAAAGTTTTACCAAATGTCTCACATGGGTGTGGGATCCACACAATGTAGGTCCCATGTGGGTCCCACACCCATGTGAGACATTTGGTAAAACTTTTAGTAGAATTTTTGGGACCTCTAACATTTTTGAAAACAAAAACAACATCCGGACATGAAGTTGGGTCCATGTTATGCCTTAAGGAAGGGTCACTTTGGGCCCATCTTCATAATTCAAATAATTTATTTTATTTTTAAAATTAAATTTGCTGTCAAATTTAAAAAAAAAAAAAAAAAAAAATTCTGATCATTTAGTTACTACTATCTAATCAATTTACTTATTTATATGAATGATTTAGCTACGCATCCTATAAAATTAACATTTGAATTATAAAAATAGACTAAAAATGAGACCCACCTCACAATTATTGTACTTGAGGTAGGGCAGGGATCTCAAACTCCTCTAAACACAGATAAAGAGTAAACAAATATGAAAATTAAAGATTAAGAGATAGAGGATACGTGTAAAGAGTCATATACTCTTCAGGAGTGTAAGTGTGGGGACAAACTCCTTCCAAACTGTCAATGAGTTTGTTGATTGCATCTTGTAGCACTGGCCATCCTTCTTCAAATGGGATGGTTTTGCGGGTAGCTTCTCCTTCCTTGGCCATGTTTGGATGCTGAGAAAGTTAGAGAGCTTTTGGATATGAGTTCTGAGAAAGTTGTAATAATATAAAGGGAGAAATTTCAAAGATGGGAGGCTATAAACAAGTGTCTTAAATGGTGGGTGGGTTATGAATAAAATGGTCAATGGATTGGCTTTGCAACTTTCTTATAGGCTTGGGAAATTTCTTTGTCTTGTTGGTTGGACTTTTCGGACCAGGCATTCTTGACCTAGACTTTTCTTGGAAACTTCCAAGTCGGTATTCAAGTTACTTCTAAAGCATGATAAGATAAATTACAAATTTGTATAGATTCAAAATACGAACTATTTTTTATAGTTTTAAAAATTATATTTTGTCCTTTTAAATTTTTAATTGCATAACAAATCTTATATTTTATTTATAAATTATTAATTTAATTAATAATTTCTAATTATGTCATAAATATTTTTCAATTAACAATTATGATAATTTTATTGTTACATAGAAAAATAGTTAGAAATTTTATTTTTTCTGTTAATTCTGTTTAATTAACAGTTCTGACATGAGTGTATTTATAATTTTTAGAACTACATGAGGCAACCGGTATTTTAGGCAAATCTCGGATGTGTATTTGTAACTTATCCTAAATATTAAGTCAATTTTTGTTTTGTGACTAGACACTCTTAATTTAAAAATTAAAAACAAAACCAATATTTCATAAATTTTGATTTATTTTTGAATTTCAGCATAATTTTATATAAATTTTACTTATATTTTTGAGTCACATGTTAAGGAAGCAGGTCCGTTTTTGAAAGAATAAAATTTACTTGGGGCTGCAATAATATTTCTCAAAAGTTTTAGCTCATTTTTGCTATGGCGTCAAATCTCGTAGCCTTGATAAAATCATTGACCTGGTCCTAAACAATTGCACGAGGACCCCATACGTGGTAGTATTAAAAGCTGCCACGTGGACATTCGTCTTCAAACTCAAGCCTCATTTGATGAAATAGCAAAAAAGAGCTACGACTTTTGAGAAACTTCAATGCAGCCCCAACTCAATTTTATTCTTTCATAAACTGACCTGCATCTTGAGCATCTAATTAACACGTAAAACCAAGTTATGAGCCCTTGGGGGTTGGGTTCAGTGGAAAGGGTCACCCCAAAATACATTCCATCCGGGTTTGACTCTGCATTGCCCCTTGGTATGGAGTTCTTGTACTTTCCCTAATGCTGTGTTTGGTTGGGAAATTTGAGGAGGGATTTGAAAAGGGAAAGGGAAAAGGTGTTTGAAACTAGGTGAAATGTAAGTATATTTTATTCACATTTCACGTAACGTTTCCCTTTCCCTTTCCAATTCCCTTCTCAATTCCCCCAACCAAACACAGCGTAAAGCGAAGTCTTAGTCCGAGGCTAGGGACTGGCAGAGTCTGCACTACTTTTTTCTAGATCCAAAGAAAAAAAAAAGGTTATGCATTGAAAACAACTCAATCTAAACACGGATTTAAACAGGTTGAGTTAATAAGATATAGATTCGACAAGTAAACATGACCATACTTATTGAGTTTTTTCCTCCAATATATGGTGGTGGTGATAGTGTGCTGGCGACAATAATAGTGGTGATGATTTTGGTCAAGGTAGCAGTGATATAAAGATAGTGGTGGTACATATTTAAGCAAGTTTAATAAATATTCATACCCAATCCATTTAAATTTATTTATGGATTTGGATGAGCTAAATAAGTATAATTAAGCTGGTTGGCAATTTTAAGTTTAATTTGCTAGTGTTAATCCGACACTAAAATTACTAAGGATAAAAATTGTGTTGTGTGATCTCGAATTCATGTAAGAATTCCTACAACAGCAATTCAAATTTTTTTTTTTTCATGTTATCATATCTCATTAACATATCATATCAAAAAATTTTACACTTACTTAAAAATACCAAATATATATAAAGATATTAAAATTTGTTTTTCCATAAATTAAAATTCATAAAAATAAACTTTATTGGATGAAATCATTCATAAATATATTTAATTTCAACTCAATTCTATTTTTCAATTTCAAAAAATTCAACCCTGTATTTATTGATTTATTCCAAATAGTAAACAAAATGATCAAATTCTCTCAAATAAAAAATAAAAAAATTATATTGATTGTGAAATCTTATTATATATATTTTTTTATTCACTTGAATGAAGTTACAGTTGTAACATGTCATCATAACACCCTTTAATAAAAATAATATTAAAATGAGTAACTAATCTTTCATTAAATAGGTTATTGGTTGCACTTGTAAATTGGTTATTTTTATTTTTATTTTTTTGATATTTCATGAACTTTTTTCAATAGTAAAAAAATAATAATTTAAGCTACCATTGATAAACGAGACTATTACCTCTTTTTGTTGAGATTATCTTATACAACAAATTTGTTTAGGTCAAAGAAGTTAGGAATCAATTATTAATATTAAAATAAGTAACTAATCTTTCATTAAATAAGTTATTGGTTGCACTTGTAAATTGATTATTTTTATTTTTATTTTTTTGATATTTCATGAACTTTTTTCAATAGTAAAAAAATAATAATTTAAGCTACCATTGATAAACGAGGCTATTGCCTCTTTTTGTTGAGATTATATTATACAACAAATTTGTTTAGGTCAAAGAAGTTAGGAATCAATTATATTATTAAAAATAAAGTAAATTATAAATAAACTTATTGAAATTTGTTTAAAATATGAATTGTCTTATAGTTCTGTAAATTACGTCTCATCCCTAGAAATTTTTAATTCATAACAAATAGCTCATTTTATTAATAAATTATTAAATTAATTAACAATGTTTCATGATGTCCAAAATTTATTTTAATTAATAATTTCGGTAATTTTATTATTGTGTAAGAGAACACTTAAGAATTTTATTTTTTTAATTAGTTTTATTAAATAAAAAACCTTGATAAGAAAATATATGTAATTTTTTAAATTACACAAAACAATCTATATTTTAAACAAATATTAAAAATGTATTTATAATTTATCCTTAAAAATAAAAACACTAGGAGAGACCTTATATAAATTTTAAAGATTGACATACGACATCCCCTATTTGCCTTTTTAAATTCTTTCTTAGACACGTAATTCATAAATCTAATTTTAAATTTTCGTTGTCTAAAGATTTACATTTTAAAATACTGGTCTATAATGACAAGTTACTAGAAAATGACCACATTACCACGTATACATATGGTCTACGCGGTGAAAACTGAACAAACCAAACCACCGCATCTTTCTCTCTTTATCTCCTCCTCTCTCTTCTCTCTCTCATTCCCTACTCACAAAACAAACCAAAACCCCTACATATTTTGAGACGATGATTAAAAATTATTTTTTAATTTTTTTGTGAGAAAAGAAAATTAGCTAAAAAGTGAGAAGTAATTTTTAACTCACCCTCAAAAATAGTATTGTATCTCTCTTCATCTCTTCCTCTCTCTTCTCTCTCTCCTTCCTCCCACAAAACAAACCAAACCCCTTCTCTATCTCTCTTCATCTTCTCTCTCTCTCTCTCTCTCTCTCTCTCCTTTCTTCTCTCTCTCACTCCTTGCTCCTCACTCATAGATCCGTCGCCTCTACAACGCCGCCGGAGATCTTCCTCTATTGCCGATCTTCTCGTCGAAACCTGCTTCGTCACCTCGTCTACTCTTTGCTGTCACCACCGTTCTCCGTCACCACCACCCAAACAACAACCATCGATCGAATCAGCATATCGTCGAAGGCTTGTTCGCACCACTGTCGCAGCAGATCTCTTCCGCTGATCTCGCAAATGCCGTCGACGCCATACCTTCTTCCTCAGTCGCGAACAATGTGAACGAACACAAAGGTCTTGTAGCACAAGAAGTACGAGTTCGCCTTACGAGAGCCATTAGATCCTCTGACTTGTTATCGATCCCTATTAGTTTGTGATTCGACCGCTGAAATCGAAGTATTGCAGAGTGCCACCTCCAGATCCAGATTGCACTGCTGCAGCACGTCTTCCTCCTCCGTCGATTTTGCGGACGCGCCGTTGTCTCCGTCGAGATCTATGTCGTCTGCTACATCAAGGTCTAGTTCGTCATCTATTTCTTGTTTGCAATCTATGCACACAATCACAAGCCCTCTCTCTTTCTACACAGGTCGTTTCTGATCATTAGGGTTTCAAAGAGTTTAACAGAGTCGATACCATCATTTCTTGTTTGAAATCTAAGCACACTTCACACCATAGTTCTAAATTGCAGTATCGGGTAACGTAGCGGTATCGATCGCAGAGTATCAGTATCGGTAGTATCGACCGGTACGTATCGGGAATCGGGTGTCGTGGCCGTGAAATTTCAAAAATCATTAGCAATTCTTCTAAAACTCAATTTTATGCATTTTTTTTTACTCTTTTAACCATAATTTATCACATTTTAATCAAAATTTTGATATATAGGAGCACTTTTGACTCATTTTCAACTAAACGATATGTATTTATTTTAGTCTCAAGCTTTTTTTTGGCATATATGTTAAAATTTTAATAAAAGAATTGATGTGAAAATATTTTTTTTACTTATTTTCAACAATAAAATACTTCTAAATGCACAACAAATTAATAAGAGAAAGAGAGACAGATGATAATCTTTTGATTTCAATATTTATTTTTCTTATTTTTTTTCCCTTGCTCAACTGAGGAAAACAAAAAATATATATATATATATTAGGGATAATTATATTTTATTCTCCTATGGTTTCAATTTTTTTTCATCTCTTTTATAGTTAACTCAATCCTTGTCCCAATAGAAGCCTAGCTTCAATGGACTTTTGCTCAATGTTTATCCAGGACTCTTCAATAGATAGAGATAAAATCCCTAAGAGCTTTATCCTTATCCAAGCTGAGTTCCCTCATCATCCTAGGACTTTTGTGCCTTATCCACTTATCTCGGATTCCGATATCTTCAGAGATAACCTTGGCCACGCCGAGATCATCTCGGCATCACGACCAGGACACGTGGCACCTTAGCTAAAACATCGGCGTCACCTTCCTACGTGTTGGTGCTCAGAAAATATATCCCCACAACTGCACCCTAGGTTCTATTACCTCAGCCTTCTAAGGTGATGGAACATATGTCGGTGCCTCCTGCCAGTACAACGGC